TCTCTCTCTCTCTCTCTCTCTCTCTCTCTCTCTCTCTCTCTCTCTCTCTCTCTCTCTCTCTCTCTCTCTCTCTCTCTCTCTCTCTCTCTCTCTCTCCTCTGGTTTACCCTTTTGACTGCTTCAGAACATGTGGTCTTGTTTTGCATTCTGACCTGTTGAATCTCTACCTCCCTTTTATTTACTTCACATCCACCATATACCAAGACGCTGGTTTCCTCCGCAATTGTAACATTTTGGCAGTGGCAGGCCGTGCATTTTATACCTGGGCCTTCTGTGCTGTCCTACTGAGCTACGGTTATTTGTTTCTATTGGTGTAATACACGTATTCGTATTAAACCGTTAGGTACGAGGCTTACGAACCGAACAATACGTTTGAATAATACTAGTGCATTTGGAAAATGCAGAAGCTTAAATTGTGGGAAATATAATGTTTTCGGTGGACTGCGCTCACATAATAGACAACGGGATGTGTGACCTGTTGAACCAAAACCAAAATGGGACGAAACACCGGCCGGCGAACGAAACACTGGCTGGATCTGATTGGATAAAAGCTCTCCTTAAAAGAAGCTGTGCTGGAAGCAGAGCAACAGAGGAAGACAGGAGCTGTGCAATGGGCACAAAAATTATTATATATGTAGTGTATTGACACATATGGTTCTGAACACTCTCAAATCTACTAGTAGTTTGACCTCTGGATTTTTTGGATACCACCACATTTAAAGGTGCACGTTTCCAGGAAACCCACACACTGGACATTAAATTATTCTTTAAAGAGACAGACACTCATGCTCTGCTCTACAAAACAAGCTACCACCCAAAGCACGCTTATGCTGGCTTAGTTAAATCAAAACTGTTGAGGTTTCACAAAATATGTACCAGATAGGAGGATTTTAAACCAGCCACAAAGGTGCTATTCTTTGATTTGGCCAGCAGGTGGTAATCTAGGTCTTTTCTTAGAAAGTGTCTCAAGACATATAAACATAACAAGCCTACAGTGGTGTCCTCTAATCTTCTATTTGTTACCATATAATCTCCATGAACAGTCCAGCTTGTCAGAGTGATTAAAAACAACTCCGGGACTATACCACAGCTGCTGTTGAAGTAAGCTTCCCTCCCCTCAATCATATAAAAAGGCCCAGCAGAGGATGTACTTCCTACATCAGTTTAGGAAGATTTACCTGCCTCAGGCGCTGCTGACACAATTCTACATCGCAATAATTCAGTCTGTTCCCTGAACACATTACTGTGTGGTTTGGAACCCATCTACCAAGCATCAGTGATATTGGTGAGAAGAGGAGCCTGTGAAATGCTAAAAGGATATTAAAAGACAAAACCCATCCCAGCCACACCCTGTTCACCCTGCTGCCGTCTGGAAAGAGATACCTTCTGTATCTCTTTCAGCTGTCGAACCACCAGACTTCAAAGCAGCTTCTTTCCTCTGTGAGACCCCTTAATTCATTCTCCATCTTTTCATGTGTTTTTGTGTTTTGTTGTGTAGCAATATGGTACTGCAAACTGCATTTCGTTGTACAATCTTGTTGTGCAATGACAATAAGATAACCTTGTAACAACGTCAGACTGCAGAGAAAAGCATTGCTGCCTGCCTGCCCTCCATTCAGGACTTAAACACCTTCAGAGTCAGGAGAGGGGCAGGAAACATCACTGCAGATCCTTCACGGCCTGGACACAAAGTTTTTCAGCTTCTCCCCTCTTGGAGGCGCTATGGAACACTGAACGCAAAGACAATGCAGACACAACAACAGTTTCTTCCCACAGGGTTTGACTCTTATGAACATCTAACATCAGTCATACACTGGCGACAATCCTCCATATTTGTTTTGTTTACACCTTACATAATACTTGACTTCTATATCGACGTTTTGTTGCTTTTTATTATTGATAATTGTTTTATATATATATATATATATATAATTAGGCCTATTTTTCACAACTTTTTTTGCTATTCTTTACCCTTATCTGTCCAGCTTTGTTTTCAATGTCACTAGTATCTATTTCTGTGTAAATAGTTTGAGAGAGTTTGAAAAACGGATACAAATTCATTATACGTGGACGCATACTTGGCCAATAAAGCTGATTCGGATTGTGGTCACATAACCATCTTTAAATTGCATTAATAATAAGCGTAATTAGCAGCAAGATATACGATTTGGTTGCTAGCACAAATAGTCTCTGAGTAACTGAAAGAAATGGAAGAATTATTGCAACTCCAGTCTTCTCTCCATTTGAAATGAGAAATAAGTGGTGCTTCATGCACGAACCCTGGCACCGTGGTCCCGATCAGTCTTCAGTGTGTGCGGCGTTGCCCCTGGTGACGCGTCTCTATCCAGTGTTGTCCCACCCATGCTTCTCATTCTCGGCCTATGATTGGCTGCTAGGACCTACCCTGTGCCGTTGACTGGCTAGGCTAGCTGTCTGCTAGTTAGCTGGATATATTTAGCTGATTGCCTTATCGGATCAGATTTAACCTGCAGTCCAACAATATAGACTAAGTACACATAGTTTATGCTGGTTTCATGCAACCATTACCTGGAAGACTAGTTATTTAACTAGGGAAGCTTACTTCAACAGCAGCTTTGTTATTTCAGCAGATCCTGGATTTTCTGTAAGAACCGAAAACAGACTATTTGAGAAATGTCTTCAGACGAAGACAGGGCCAAGGAAATTTTGAAGGGCTTCAAACTGTATCCTTTTTTGTTGATGTTCTGCGAAGGTTAGACACGTAAGTTAGTACTGTCTGTCCTGTTTGGTACAATATAACGTCATCTAATATAAGCAAGATGCTAGTGACATGTGAGATAGGATTGTGCAGTAAGGTTAGCTGCTGTGGCTAACCTGTCAGTTTCACCTCTCATTGGATAACGTCAGCTAACGTTTCACAGCCGATGTCTGTCTTTATGTGATGTGACAAAATAAAAATGTTCTTATAGTTACGAACCAGCTAGTTCCCATTTGAATGACGGCCTGCTGGCTACATTGAGTGTTTTTGGGCTGTGGCTAATTAGCCGACTAGCTGCTTGGTGTGCAGCTGTACTCTGCTTTAACGTAACGTGCTGTAGCAGCACTGTTTACATTGACGTAGCTGATAGATAGCGACTATCAGCTACGCTATTAGTCGACCAGTCGCTATTAGTAAGTACAAATGTGACAGAGATCTCTGTCACATTTGTACTTACTAATAGTAACTTAAGCTCTTAGCTTACATGTTGCTCGCGTTATAGCTTGTTTGCTGTTTGACAGCAACGTAACTTCATATTTGGGAAGATGTGTGACGTTATGGAAGTGAAGCCAAACTTCAACACAAATCAGTGACTTTCAAAGCGCCACTTCTTACCAATCATACCAGGGAATTGTGTTATCCGATTCTCCGAAGGTCGCGTATACTTATTATTTCTGATAGCGTTTTGAGGTCTGAATGTTTATGGATGTGTCACAGTGAGATTAACGTGTGCTCTTATTTACTGTCACATGTGTGTTATTGCTGCCATTTGAAAATAGTCCTTTGTTTTAAGAGTACTTTTAAAACGAGTGAAATGACTTTGGAAACAAGTGAATTCATGTCAGACCTGAACCAGGTTATATTCTCCAACACACATACAATAGACAATTTTTATTTTCAATTTTAGTAATTTGCCTTGAATAGATAGTATATTAAGGAGCCGCCAACAGAAAACATAGGAAGAGAGAGAGGAGAACGCACATTATGACAAATGTCCTTGGCTGGAATCCGAAAAATGAGGATGTGTTTATATGGTATCAGGAACTTATTTTTTTACTATACTGTTAGTTGGCTGATATTATGATGATTTACTGCTGATTAGTAATGCTTTAGCACCTATTTGACTTGTGATTTTGTTTGAAAATAGCATAATGCATAAATAACTTATGCATTGCGTTATGCATTGTTGAACTTAAGATAAGTCACAAGTTTCTCTGTTTCATTAGATATTAGCTCATTGGGAGATTTATATGTTGAAGTGTGTTAATGGTTAGATAAGATAATATAATAATTCAAAAACACTACTCTTAGTGAAGAGCTTTACACCAGCTGCCAGCTGTAAATCAATTGAATACAACAAAACTAACATTGCAAAACACAACATCAAATTTGAAGGGGAAAAAGTGTGGGCTGAAGCAACTTTTTGGGCACCTTATGACTTACTGAGTTATTACTATATATAGCTTGTAAGAGAGTGACTGGGCCTTGCCTCTTTCTGCAAAATAATACAAAAAGCGTGCGACCCAAAAAATAACCAGCTGAATTCACTGCCAAGCTTTCTAAAATGACATCTGGAACATTAGACCTGTTATTAGTGTTTATTACTGTTAGAGTTTGCAACGGAAACCCTGCCTGTCGGAATGAATGGCTTGGAGATCCCAGGTTCAACACTTTAGACAGCAGTTCAGTTTTGCCTTAAGCACTTAAGCCCAAATGATACTTTCCACTTCTGCCTGACTGCATGGATCCACAAGGCTCTCCATGACATATTGTCTAAGTCAAAACGTATGAACATGCAGACTATTATGTAAACATGAACAGCTAAGGGAGTAGAAACAGAACCGCATCTGTTTTGGACCCAAGTTAAACAGGAAAGCAGCAGGAGTATGACACAGATTGTAAGCTGAGATATTGTTGGTTTTAAACCTCCATCGCACCTGAACATCATTATTTGACATCATTTACATTTTTCAGTAACCTCAGACAGATGGTCACATAAACTAGAACCCTCCTGGAAATATAATCCAAAACCAAAATGTTGTTTTAAGAGATTGAAGTCAGTTCATCAACAGTATTCTTTGAACCTTTTATCTCTGCAAGGAGGATCATGCGATCGGTTGCGTGTGTGGTTTACATGAGTGAGTGAGTAAGTGTGTACCTATGTGTCCATCCAAGGCTAATCTCGCATTCTGCTGCAGTAAACTGCTTAATATTTTGGGTACCCAGTTGTGACTGCATGCTTAAGGATGTCTCGTGGTTGTGGTGACTCACACTTTCTCAAAATACCTTTTATTGCCTCTTTTATCTTTTATCCATTGACTGCTTCTGACTTCTCACTCACTACTCTCCAGTTTAACCGGTTTGGGCCGCTAGTGATGACATTGCTGAGTGCATCTCCAACCCCACCATCTGCTACTCTGTGGCCACAATGAGGAGATAACAGTTTGCAGTCTGTTTGGCTAACAGATCTACCATACACACACTGCTGCCTACCTCTATATAACTTAGCCACCGCTACACGATCAGGCAGCTTGGTGAGATTAATTTAGTCTGAAATGACAACTTTGAGCGATTTCACAGTATGTGTTTCACAGTATGTGCCAAATAACATCCAGCATCACCGACTAATTTGCAATGTTTGCACATTTTCTCTTCCCCACTGCTACACTATATCAAATTTGTTGAATTTGTTTATACAAATGCAAACTGTAGTTTTGTATCTAGGATGGGAGGGTGTGTGTGGGTGGAGCCAACGTGATAAATTGATGCTTTCCATATTACTGGCTGGACTATGTAAAACCGAATTAGTACCAGTAATTCCTTCTAGAATAAGCAGCAGAGCACTGCAGCATGCTACCCTTACTGCAATGGAGACCTAGTGTTCCAGCCAGTGAAACATAATCAAACAACATTAGTTAGTATGCATATTGAAATACCTAAACTATTTGTCCCCCTTATTATATAATACTCTCCCAGTCCATACAAAAGATGAAGGTGTGAGCTTGTGTATGTTTCTTGGTAAGGTCAGGCCTCTTGCTGTAGTGTGGTAATGCCTAAATCCATGATTTAGTGGAACAGGGATTTACTACCTTCTGTCTATACTACCTTAAATCCTTATGAAGAACACGAATAAGAATATAAAACTACCCTTACAGCAAAGATAGCAGACGGTCTAGTTGTGAAACTCTCTCACTTTGTTTGTCAATGTTTCTCAAGAGCAGAACAACTAAGATGCTGACACAAGCAGTAGCTCCTGCCATAGTCAGTTATTTGTAGTCTCACATATTCAAACCCAAAGACTGACTGAATTTATTGTCATCTTGAGATACTGATTGTTACAACAGTGAACAGATTAGTAGTTTTCCCCTGAACTTCTTCAATTACATGCCTTAAGCACAGTTTAACCTTGTGTCCCTCATTAGCATATAGCTTGTTGTATAAGATGATTGTTTGTTGTTATTGTATCTTATTAACAATAATAATGGAGAGAAGGAATTAATTTGCAATAGTTGAGCCATAGGATGCTTATCTGACATTGCTCTTGAGTCACACGTAGTTATTGGTAGCAGATCGTGTGTCCTGAGAAAAGTTACTTAGATAACTCTGCTGTGTAAACCCTGAAACCTCTTCACGAAACATGCCTCTGATCTGGTTCTGAATGGCACTGGGGACATCCTCTGGTTAACAACCAATATTTCATCTATTTTTTATTTTTTTATTTTAGATTACTGCATGTAACCTAATCCATTTTAAAAGAACATGCGTCCATCTTCTAAAGTCTAACTGAGGATATGTTTGGTTGACCTTCTGTTGCGAATACTCTTCTTGAACAAACAAAACTGAGATCATTACATTTGTTAATTGTTCCACTTGGTAGACCAAGAAAAACAAAAAGAACATTATACTAATTGATAATAATATGGCAGGGTTTCCTTCAAACGAATGGATGAATATATCCCACTGTCTCCATGTGTTGTTGAGGTGTGAATTTACTGACGTGAGAACTTGTATCTGTGCAGTAGGAGTGTTATAGAGGTTGGGGTTAGGAAACTGCATATACTTTGAACTACTAAAATATATTCAGACTAAACAGTGATGGCAGCTTTTCACTCGGGGCTCATTAGCTTGTGTGTGTTCTGATGTGTGCAGGGACCCTAGTGATTTACACACACACAACCTGCAGCAGGCCCCGAGGAGGCAATGGTACAACCTCATATGATGTTGTTGGAGCTTCAATCAATTTCTTTAGGTCAGTTTGTTGAGGAAGTGATTTGAGAGAGAATAAATGAAAAGGGCACACATTATCCTATCAGAGATGAACAGTAAAATGTGGATCATGGTTTTTCCTTCCGAAAGCAGAACAAGTTACCCACTTCTTTCATTGCCATCCCTGTTCGACCACTTTCATTATGGACATCCTGCTAAAATGATGCACGGGTTCTCTTTTGATTACAGTGAAACATTTAGAAATGAGACGTGCCACCTGGTGAAAGAGTGAGAAAGACATTGCAGTGTGGCCTGGATTACTCTGGAAGGTGTGGAGGATGATGAGTTTGATGTAGGAGATTGGATTTAGTTGGATTTAGAGGATTAGAGAAACCATTCAACTCAGCACACTTTACTAGAAAGCCTGAAGGAGAGGTGGGGGATGGTGGAAGTGGTACAGCACTGATAGACAAGGATTAAACGTGTGTGTGTGTGTGTGTGTGTGTGTGTGTGTGTGTGTGTGTGTGTGTGTGTGTGTGTATTTATACATACATTAGGGGTCCTATTAAGGAGCCTGATTTGACTGCTAATCTCACAGTGAAATTTTCCCAGCGCCTGGAAAATATGGTAATGAAATAAAGGATCATTCATCATTAATTAATAACACAATGTAGCACCATCAGAGCTACATATATTGTAAAGGAGGTGCGTAGCAGGAAAAGCAAGCAGGATAAGAAACCGTGTCTAGATCTTGCATCCATAACCAAGATAAGAAAAAGAACATGATTTGACGATCAGTCAACTAATAGCCACAACTCGACCAAATCGCATTTGACTATGTCGATTTTTAGTCGTGGACACCCCAAATAGATAAATACATATTACAAAAAGCCCTTAAATATAGTCTGTATATATATATAGTATAGTCACTAATCAAGCATTTCAGGGGTTTCATGAATCTCTGCTATTAGTAGAATTTGGTATTAACTGACATAAATGTGAAGATATTTGAGATGTGATTTGAAATTGTAATAACATCAATTTAATACATTTAAGTGGAATTGAGTGTTTTGTTGATTGAGATTAAAAGTTAGGTGTAAATATTATATAAAAAACAAATGATATTAAATCTTTTTTTTATGTTTTTTCTTTAGTCCATATATGATCAGTCCACCCTGGCTGTTTCAGATTACTTTTATACCTGTCCCACTCTGAGGGCTTTGTTATTAATTAGAGACATAAAACAATTAAATGTCTTCATTGTTGGAAATAAAAATGAACCCTAACACACATGTATCTCTTGCAGAAAGAAAGGGTTAATAAATCCAAATTAAATAATCAAATCTATAGCCTAACTAATGAAATATATGACGCACTGGTGAAAATGATGGTCATTACTACAGTGGAACAAACCCTTCTTAAACATATGTGTGTTCTACTGAATGTTTTTTAAATGTCTGGATTTATGACTATCAAAATCTTCTTATGAGATTAGGGTGAATCTCTGAATGCTACAGAGAAATCGTGCCCTTTCAGATTGCTGTGTGCATTTGTAATGCAACTCTGTTCTCATCACTCATGGAACGATATGCTAACATGGCAGGCCCCGGAGGTTCAGAAGCTGTGTGTTTTGAGGCAGTTAGGATGGGAAGTTTCACAGATGGCGTGGAGTCAAGTGTGTGTGACACTAAGTAGTTTCTGAGTGTAACAGGATGCTGAGTGGAGAATCTTCTCGAACAGAAGGCTGTGGGATGATACTTCTTTACTGCCGTCTGTCAGTCTGATATCCAAAGATAAAATGAGGTGGCATCAGTGTCTGCCAGTTCCTTCTGATTTAACCGAAATAAACGAGCAACACACTGATCAATTTAGAATCCCAGCCAGAACACGGCTCGATCTTTAGAACAGTGCTGCACAGGACTATCTCGAATACCAAGCCAGGCTCAAAGCCAATGTTTGAATTTCAAAATGCGTAGCATATTAGTGAGGATAAACCAGGACAACCATTTTAAGATTTCCCGCTCCTGCAGCAGCATCTCTGCTTGGTGTAAAGTACATTCCACACCTGAAGGGAAATCACTTAAAGCTAGGGTTGGTAATCTTCTTCAAAAACATTCCTGTTATATTGGTTGAATGTCTCATTACTTCTTGACAGCAATCAATGAATCAAAAGAAAAAAAATCTGGTATCTGTGGCTGTCGCAGGACTGTAATAAGCTACCCAAATAGTTAATTCAGCCCCAATATAATGATCGGACAGGCTACCTACCTGTCTACCTACATGTGTACCTACCTGCCTGCATGTGGCGACTGTGGCTAAGTGGTGTTGTCCTTCAATCAGAGAATCGGCGGTTCGATCCTCGGCTCCACTAGTATCATATATTAGGCAAGACACTTAACCCTGATGGGCAGGTGGCACCTTGCATGGTGGCCCCTGCCATCAGTGTATGAATGGGTGTGAATGATGACATGTTGTGTTAAAGAGCTTTGAGTGGTTGGAAAGACTAGAAAGGCACTATACAAGTACAGTCCACTTACCTACCTGTTTACGTACCAATTGACTTTGCTCTAAAAGCTCTGTATGTTTCACAGTTAAAATGGTACATTGATAGGTAGGTAAGTAGATGGATAAATTTAAAGTGTGATGATTCATTGGGGCGCCCATAGACTATTGTTGAAATGATTGTGAAGACGCAACGCAGCATGAGAAGCTGTAAAGTACAGTGCAGTCACATACTGGGTCCTTCCAGGCTCTTCGATTGACGGCTGTATTGTGTTTATAGTGAATGTGGAGGTCAGGAACAGCTGACCAACTGACAGACTGATGGGACAGCTAGAGCCGGCATCATCCAGACAAAGACTTCTTCAGCTTCCTCTCACTCCCCTCCACACAGCTTCTTTTCATGCTTCCTCAGATGAATTTAGACCAACATGATGAAAGCCTGATATTATATATGTATATATGCTGGTGATAAATCTACAGTGTTTTCCTATTTTTTACTGGGATACAGGCTATATGTAGTACACCAGTTTTATCCAGTCAACTGTACATAAGTACATAAGGTAACTTCTACAATACACAGAAATACATCAACAAATGCACATAGAGCAGAATTAGCCACACTGATAGTTAAAATTCAAAAGAGAGCACTCATACGTTTAAACCACCTTAAATCCCTGAGACACCCACACTCCAAAGCCCTCCAAGCCCAACAGCTGAGCCCAGAAAAGAGTCCCCTATGTCAGTTGCTAACTGCCCCCTTTCAGACAAAACTGGGACCAGTCTCACAACAACTCTGCTCTCCAAACACCAATCAGAGAAAACCAAAAGTAAAGAAACCTGTTTGATAATATTCTAAACTACTTTGGCTTTTAGTTTATTTTATCCAATGTTCCAGACACATCATTTACTTTGAGAAGTTCAACTGTAATTTCAGATTTCAAATAGCCTAATGACCTCTCTACATAAAAAAATTACTCCAAGGAAAATGAGACAAGGCATATCTTCCTACCCAGCATTTCAATCAGGAGAGACAAGTCAGAGACAGAAAAGACAAGTTTATTATTAACAGATGATATGTGATGATAAAGTCTTGACAGTCTTTGGTGCTTGGACTCTACAGGGAGATTTGTAATGGAAGGGCGTCTGCCCTGAGCAGCAGAAGATAAATCCCCCCCGTGGAGTCCAGACACTGGTGGTGGTGGCTGATGAGGCTGATAGAATGATGAGTTGATGAAACTGTGAAGATTGGGTGGAGATATGGAGGTAACAGCAGCATGAACGTACTGAAGGTAGAGAGACAGTCATATTTAAAAAGAGACAGCAGCAGGATAACTGTGCTATTGGATAGAGGAGACCAGCTGATCAGAACAGCCGATATCATGACTGACAGCCCCGAACAATAACAATAACATAATGAGTGAGCATGAGTGAAAAGAGTGAATGGCAGATGTATGAGAAATAAACTACAGGCATGCAAAGTATAGTCTTCCTTACTGAACTTATGCTAGAGGTTCATATGTTAACATGCCACAAACTGAGGGACAGTGAATGACCTAAAGACATGCGTGTGCATGTCTTTAGGTCATTCACTGTCACACAGTGTGATGTGATCTGTTGAAGTGTAATTGGACGGATGGTTACTGAGTGGATTATTTGGTTCCTACATACGACACAGAGCTTCACAGAGCTACATGGCATGCAGCACTTAGCTGCACAATATGGGACTGCATGCCAATAAAGGCATTGAATTGAAAAACTTGAAGAGAGAGAGACATGATACAAAAATGTTCTACAATTCTCTGGTTTATCAGTGAAGTTTATGAGCTGCACTGCAGACTGAAGTCATTACTAACAGAGACAAACTTAGGGACAGCTGTCTCATAGGAACGGGTTCAACACGGGTTGAATGCTCATCTGCAGGTCCACGTTATATACATCAATGTATATGAAGTGTCTGTTTTCTCACTGCGCTGCCTTTTTATAACCCAGATGATAATCTGGTCATGGGTCACATCACTTGCCCGCATCCAGGCACCGTCTCACTCCTTCTGGCTCTCTTTGCTGTTGTCATTTATTTGATGTAAACTCTACTAACTTAAAATGTCAAATGATGGATGTCTGAAGGTTGATAACATAAGTGCTAGTAAATGTTCAAAGACTGTTCAGTTCAGTTTATTTAGTCTAGTCTTTAGTTTGGTTGTTGCCACTTAAACATTTCCTGACAGAAACTGGATGAACCTTCGAGATGCAGAGACGGGCAAAGTGCTGTGGCAGGGAACTGAGGACCTCTCTGTTCCAGGAGTAGAACATGAAGGTACATTAGACACACATACAGTATATGTATCGTAGCACAGCGTGGTTTTTTTGGGCTATTTGTTGTTGGCCAGTTGTCTTGGTCGGTATGGTTTTCCTGGCCCCCACCCTTTTTTCTTTTTTGTTAATCATTGCTCATCAACTACATAAGATCTGTGGATGTGGAGACACGGGGGTCAACAAGCCATCGGACAGGTAGATGAGACAGTTACCCTAATGTCAATGAACAGATTCTGCATTCATATGCATGGATCTGTAGGCAATCAAACAATATTATGGCATCAGCAGCATTCTTGTTTCCGTTTGTAGTCCGAGTAGTATTGCCCAATCACGTTAGAGGCAGGCTTTGGTTAAATACAGGTAAACCATCTGTGTGGAGAGCAAAAGAGACGGAAAGCATTGACCAAAATGCAATCTGGGAACCCACCGGCTATGGTCTGACCATGATTTAGCTTTTCATTGGTTTAAAATGAGCTTGTAAACTGCCGACTTATGAAACAACCTTGGCCGTACATGTCTTCTCTCAATTCTAACTCCAGTCTCAATATTTGACTTACAAAACAATTTTGTATGCACTAGAGTGCAAATATTCAGAAAGGCAAAAAGGATTCACGGAGGACACTATGCCACATAATATACTGAGGTCATGCACACAGTTTTACAATGCAATTCACTATTTAGTGCATGCAGATGTTTTTGGTTGACTGAACTACGTACACTGCCTGTTGTATTTAAGTTGTTGTTCTTTCCTTCAATTATGACTAAATGACGACACAAAAAAAGTTACAACAAATGTATTATTTACACTTTTTAAAATAGTTTTATGCCCCAAAAGAAGAAGAATGAAATGATTAAAACTGGGGGAAAAAAAGTCAAAACAGTTTTAATGTTGGGCCCTCTGCAGTCTACTCAGTGGTTATATCAAAGAGGTCTAAACTCTGATTTGTCAATCCATAGTATGTTCATCTGACATTCTGACAGTGCCAACCCTAGACTAACTTCTATTTCTATTGTGAAGTTTGAAGGAGAGCTTTACTAAAGCAACACGTTGCCTGTTTATTGCAGCTTGTTAATAAACAAGATGCCTGAAGAAATGCACCAAGAGGAGGAGGCTGAGACCTTTGCCTTCCAGGCAGAGATCGCTCAGCTGATGTCCCTAATCATCAACACCTTCTACTCCAACAAAGAGATCTTCCTTAGGGAGTTGATCTCCAATGCCTCTGATGCTTTGGATAAAATCCGCTATGAAAGACCAACCCTAGACTAACTTCTATTTCTATTGTGAAGTTTGAAGGAGAGCTTTACTAAATCAACACGTTGCCTGTTTATTTTGAGAAACTTGATATCCAAATCCTTTTAGGTCAAGTGTTGGTCACATCTTTAAAAACCCTTAAAAATCCATCATAAACTGTCAAGTCAAAGCAAATCTGTTAAGATCCAAATTCAGCTGAAGCAGGATCTGTCATGTGACCTCAGGCCTCCTGTGAAACACTTGACACTAAAACAGGAAGCTGGTCCTGTTTAAATCTGCACACATTTTGATGACTTGGGATTTCTTCTACTCTTATTGAACTTTTGATCAGAGGGATCTTTGTCTCTTTCTGCCCTTAGAATTCCGTCTGGTTGAGCCATTGTAAAGTATTTTGTTCTCCATGTAAAAGAAATGATTTTTTTGCAAACCTTTCATACAAGGGCTAGTATTGATACTATACAGACACAGGCCTCTTTCAGCTGATAGCCGATAATGGAAGCCTACAAAAGGTCACCTACAAAGGAAGTGTTTGCTTTGTTTTTAAACATCTGGTTGCTGTGGGTCACATTTATTAAATCAACAAGTTTCAGGTCTTGAATCTATAGCTCTCAGTTAATCACAATCAGCTTTATTTGGCCAAGAATGCTTTCACATACAAGGAATTTGACTCAGGTTGTTTTTTATTATTCTGATTAATTCTAGTTTCATTGTCTCTGCAGCTCGTGTCCCGAAGAAGATCCTGAAGTGTAAAGCAGTGTCCAGAGAATTAAACTTTTCCTCCTCAGAGAAACTGGAAAAGTTCAGACTGGAACAGAAAGTTTTCTTCAAAGGACAGTGTCTAGAAGGTAATCTGAACTTTTTAAAGGTACAGAACCTGAAGGTCAGTCAGTAAAAGGTACCTTCGGGTATTTTGACCACTAATGGCACTATGAATCCCAATGGTTTTACACTATTCCACTGATCTTGTTCGTCTCTATGTGCAAAACCTGTGATTGACTGACGACCTGTCAAGGGTGTACCCTACTACTCTCCCCCCGCAACCCTCTAAAGGATGATCGGTTATAGCTGATGGATGGAAATGCATTCTGTCTCAAAGTATTCTAAAGTGCTGTAGTATCTGATGACTGCTAAAGCTGGACTTCCTGGATTGTATTTCAACTTCTCACCAGTACCTGAAGCAACACAATGCAGAGCCTTACATTTGGGTCCACTTCCTGCCATAGCCAAATGATCTGCAGTACACTGTGAAAGAACTGCAAGGATGGTAAAAGTCCTCACTCAGTACTGGAACACACGGATTCACCTGTCTTGCATTGTTATTTAGCAAGACAGACAGTTATTGAAAATAATAATTTAATGCAGACATGTGGTTTAACAACAGCTCCAATTAGTATATCCGGATTGAAAATATTCTAATATAAGTAGTAAAAGATATGAAAAAGAATCAAAACCAATCAAAGCAAAGAATTAGAACATTGACTACATTCTAGACAATTATTAGTGCTGAAACAGTCGATGAATCAGTCAGCCGAAAATAAATAAGATGGCGACACTAACTGACGGAAAAGCTAATAAGTCTCTTCTCTCTCTTTTTTCCTCTCTGTTTTCTTTGTAAAATTGAACAGACTTTTCCAAGCAACACAAATTATAATTAGTGGACAGGGAAGTAGAAAGATTCCAAGGATGTTGAATAATGTCATATTTGTCATATTATCAATATATACAAGTATTCTTAAGCTAGTTTTGTCGTCTCCTTCCTGCCTCCTTCCACCACTCTGATAAGTGTGTGTCTGTGTGTGTGAGTGAGCATTTAGCTTGGATCCTGATGGGCATGTTGGCACCTTGCATGGTGTATGTGAATGGGTGAATGTTGACATGTAGTGTAAAGCGCTTCAAGTTGTTGGAATACCAGAAAGACGCTTTATAAATGCAAGTCCATTTCTTCACATCTTTCCTTGACCTCATGATGTTTTCCATCAAGGAAAATATATAGGACATCATTTTTTTGACTATTCACCTGCAGCTCAGGATCGCATCTAGTGGAAGGTTGGAGGACCGCAGGTCCCGGCAGTGAGAGGCCACTACTTAGCCTGAGAGAAGTGAGCAGTGCCAGGCCAGGCAAAACAACCGATCCACAATTCCTCATGACACACACACTCACAAAACAGATCTTTTTCACAGCCACCCACAATCAGCAGTAGCTGCCCTGAAGTGGGGCAATAAAGATTGATTGAAAAGAAACAAAGAAGCAATCACCATAGTCAGGGGTATCCAACACCCGTCAGCTCAGGAAAAATTAACAATGACACAATTTGAAAGATTTCCTGAAATCAACAATCATGTGTAGTGATGTTAAATATTAACCGTTTAACTGGTGACCAACAATAAGAGTTTGACCCTTTATAATATCAGTTAGAAGAAATATTAAAAATAAAAAGAGTTTAAAAAAGCTGAAAGAGGAATTACGTCCACCTTAAAGGTCAGCCCACCTAAAATGTGCCTGAACCCGACTTGTTTCTAGCTAAGGGGGCTAACCCCCTTCACTTTAAACAGCAGGTGGCAACACGACTCAGAAACTTAACTTGGGTCTCCTTACGGGCCTTGAGGAGTTGTAGCATTTATTCACGTCAAACTGTACACACAGTGCACTGCTACGTTCACAGCTATAACGTTAGTGCTGATTTCACACTCATCACACACACTCACTCACTCTCTCGCTCTCTCGACTGGACACTCGCTAAAATCCAGCAAGCGTGCAATACACTGGGCAGAGTATGCAGGCAGACACACAGCTGACAACTCTCCAAGAAGGTTAGAGTTCCCAGACAGGGGAACCGGAGGTTCAGTTACCTGTTTTGCACATTCGCTGCAGCTGGTGAATGCAGTTGATAAATGATGGATTTAATCCATAAATGGTAAATGGACTGTACTATAGCACCTTTTTAGTCTTTCCAACCACTCTTTCACCATTCACACACTGAGTGTCTTGCACATCGACATGCACGACCCTGCTCTCCACTTAGCCACAGTCGCCCTGCTGTTTGTGTTATCGTTACAGCTGGGCGGCTTGATAGGCACTTGAAACACAGCACCCTGCATGCAAGGCATACATCTTGTTGGTTAACAGTTAATGATTGCTTAATGAGGGTCAGCTATTCTTCAGAAAATAAATTAACGACCCTAATCATATCCTTTTGTCTTGTTAACATCAAAATGAAGAAATGACTGTTGGCAACACGATATAAAGTCTTTAACTCCAGCACCATGACCCTGTTCCTGCAAAAAACTCGTAATCTCTGTAAGAAAATCGTTTTTACAAAATTGATGATGATACAGACTGTGACAGCCATTAGTATACAACATTTAAAGAAGAGGGGACAAATGGCAACCCTCTGACAGAATAAATACCATTTATTTTTCACCTATTGTTAGGTTAATAGTTTAATAGCATACAATGTAACTGATGAGAGATCGATTAATAAGTCATAATGGCCAGAATGATTAATTTCATTATAAATATCATTTATATTTATTATACTTTAAGCTTGAGTGAAGATACTGTTATCATATGAAACTCCAACCTGATGAATCTAGTGGTACCATGGCACGCTAGCTTGTCAGGAAAAAGGCTGAATAGCGCTCCAAACGTAGGCTGAATTGACCTCTCACCTCAAGATTTGTGAATGAAAATGTTTTCTATGTGTACGAGTCTCCCCCACCAGACATGTTTTATGATCATCTCATTTTTGCATACTGGGGTCCCTAAACAGTCTTGAATTGAATTAAATTGGGTATTACTGGAAAGCTGAGACTCTTTCTGATCCAATGAGCCAAATTATATGTATCTGTGATGATAGTGGCCATTTCACATAATGAGACCATTTAAAAAAAAGTTGATGTCACTGTATAAAATGAGCCGTTGTGACCTCTAGGATAATCACAGCCTTGTGAACAGCCACAAACTACAGACCTATGGCATTCAGAGGATGTAGGGCTTTCCTCGGGACATTGACAATTAGGGGATTTCTGAGCAGTTTCCAGAACAGAAACACTCGTCATCCAATCACCGAAAAATGCAATTCTTACAGAAATCTCCAAATGCCAAAAGTTCATGACTTTTATATGATGGTCCTTCATGTGGTATTTTGGAGGCATTTCTGATCATTTTTATCAATTCTCGAGTGGTAACAAATTGTTTAATTGAGCACCAAATCTATGTAACAAATGGAATCAACCCAAACAATTGCTGTAACAACTGATAAGACATAATAAAGCATGGGAATGACCATCATATACTTCCATCATAGTGTTTTAAGTTATTTTCATTCATTCATTTTTGACACACACTGCTGAGCTGCAGAAAGAAATTAATCATCTGGTTCCCAGCTTTCAGGTTATGTACAACACTTATATGTGGCACTTACTGTTGACCTGCTACCTCCTCTAAAGATCCCCTGTCCCCCCTAAAAAAAGTTAAAAACAGGTCCACAGGGGTCTCTTCCAGACAGACAGAAAAAGGTTTATAAGTGTATGCTGATTTGTATATAATAACAATCCACAATTAAAAAATGCTACTCTATTAATGCATGGAGCCGTGCAACTTGTTGTACACGTGCAACAGTGTTGTATGCATTTCATACAACACTGCCTGCAAATATTGTTTTAACAACTGATGGTACTCTGTCCACAGAAAAGGTGTGGGGGCTATTATTTACAGGATGTGTTAAATTAAACTTTTTTCATGTCAATGACAAATTGTACAGATATAGACATCAAAATTGTAGTATTATTGCTGGTATGATGTCAATAAACTTACAAAAGATCCTTTTCACTGTCTTTTTTTGCTGTGAACCCCGAGGCACAGCGAAAAAATAGGCGAAACCTCGAATCTCTCAAAGATCCACACAGCCGAGCCACACCTGAGCCGCATTTCTCAGAGTGGCTGCTCTAACCTGTTAACATGGGGGCCGAAATAAAAAGCAAGAGTATACTACCCACCCCTAGACTAAGCGGGGAGTTTCTACCAAATGTTGTCTGGTGAGAAATGGCTTGTTGTGTTTTTTAAATTCCAGTCCAAAGTGTGAAAACTCAAATATTTGGACACAGGCAGTCAAAAATACTTTGTTCCCTAAAATGTGTCATAAGATACAGTAGTTGCTTTATACCTCAGGTCCTCAACAGACAGCTGTGGGGGGGCCTACTGGTTAAGAGGTTAAGAGTCTTTCCCGCTGCAGCCTGGGTTTGATCCGGCCCAGCATGTCATCCCCTCCCTCTGCCCTGCCTCTCCTGTTTGTCTCTATCAAATAAAGCCGAAATGGCAAAATATATCTTAAAAAACAGAGAACTGTTAGCTGTTGTCATTTCCTTATTACTGCGTGTTTGCAGTGCTCTCCCTGTGGCCCTGCTGTACATAGGTGAGGTTACAGGAAGCCCCAGGAGACAACACACAATACACACCGGCATAACATGTTTATGTTGCTAGTTTCTAAGTCTTGACAACTGACTAACTACTTTATAATCAGGATTTTTAGTAATGATATTGTATGTTGTGAGGGCAACACTGAACTCTTTGTCTTTCTGTGTCTCTGTCCAGAATGGTTCTTTGAGTTTGGTTTTGTTATCCCCAACTCCACCAACACATGGCAGTCTCTGATAGAAGCAGCTCCAGAGTCCCAGATGATGCCAGCCAATGTTTTAACGTGAGTCTCCAATCAGCTCATTTCTCTATTTGAGGTTCCCGTACTGCTGACACATGTAGTAGATCTTATTTTCTCATCTCTTCTATTTAACTTTGTACAGCTATCTAACCAACACGAAAGGAAACAAAACAGTGTACATGTGACTTACAGGTTATTTTTAAAATGTGTGCACGTTAGAAACAACCTGTGTGATGTAAACCTTCTGCACCATTCTCTGGCAATGTACTCAGATTTCTAATGACCTGAAGATTGGGCATATTTGTACAATCTTACAAATGAACAGGGAATGTTAAAAGGAAACCTTTCACAGTGTGTGTTTTATTTTCATAGTTTTGTCCATCATTTTTATCGGTTCTGATAACATTGTATACACAAAGTTAATAGTTCAGATCTGGGAACACCATAATATCACCACAGTAAAGTCTGATGGGTTAGAAATACAAACCACTGGTTAGAAAAGAGAAAACAAAGGTTAACAGTGTACTGACCCACTTCCTGCTTCAACTTTTACCATCTGTTCTTGCTGTAGTGTTCCTGTGCTATGTTCACACTACGAGCTTTTACGGGCAGATTTAATTAATTATACATTTTTCTTTTTCTTTATAATTGTAACAGGTTATTGTTACCGCCGTGGATCCTGTCAGCACAAAGACGTCAGCACACACTCAAATTGCGTTTTCGTAATGTTCTTTATTTACTCATGCAGTTCAGGATGCTCTCCGTGCGCCCGAGCGCACCGCCGTACATGCGTCCGTCAGGATCGTCTCTCGTCCTGCCCGTCGCCCTGTCAGCTCCTGTCTCCTGCTTACTCCTCTCTCGCGCCTCCGTCCCTACTACTGCTTATATAGGGAGAGAGACAATCAAGGACCAGTTTCAGCTGCGGCTAATCAAACCTCTTCACAGCACCGTTCACCGTTCCCACAGCACCGTTCCCCCCCCCCCACTCTGTCCCCTCTGCAGCTGTGCCCAACCACCACAATAATCTTATTACTTTACATTTTGGCAATATTGTCCTTGTTACATTCATGCCAATAAGCATGTTGTATTTAAATGAAGACACTTAAAGTGGTTTAGATCAGTTATTCCCAAAGACTGGGTCCTGACCAAACAAGTGGGTCGCAGGCAGTGGCAGGCCATGCATTTTATACCTGGGCCTTCACTGCTGTCCTGCAGCTGAAATACCACCTTATGACCACATTTTGGCACCACAGCTATTATTCATTTTTAAGACTGTAACTATGTACGTCTTCGTATTAAACCACTCGCGAGTCGTTCGAATAATGCTAGAGCATTTAGAAAATGCAAAAGCCTAAATTCAGGAAAATATAGTGTTCTCAGCTGGTCTGGCTGTGGGATCCGCTATCATTTCTTAATGACAAGCCACGACCCAAAGAGATTATCATAGAATTTTATTTTCACAACTGTAACGTTGAACGTACTGCTCTGCAATGTCTTTCCTCGTCTCAGTCTCCTGTGTCATGGTGTGTGGTACATCCCACTAGTCAGAATGCCCATATTTGATTGGCTGAGCTGCATCACGTGATGTGATTCACTACCCAACAGCCTCTGCTGTTAAGTATCAGAGCTGCATGGACACTGAGCGGCATGTAATGCTGACGTCATTATAGGCCGGCTCGCAGGCTCTGATACGTCAAAGAATACGCCCAACATGTCAAACTAAAGATCTGAACACTATGACAATCAACAATATCGTCCCCGTTTACTTTAATCTGCACTGGCTGCAGAGGCCTCTGCCTCTGTTCTTACCTAGAGACACAGAGGAGAAATCTGATTGGATAAAAGCTCTACTTAAAACAAGCTGCACTGGAAGCAGAGCAACTGAGGAAGACAGTAGCTGTGCATTGAGAAAATAAGATAATGGGGAAAATATTTTTATAAATTATAATACATGTAGTCTATTTAAGAAAAATTATTAAATTATAAAATTGATATAGCTTTGTGATTCTGTTTAGGCCAGCACTGACGGCCCACCACTGGTCGCAGGAGATTTTATTATGGTCACCAAATAAATTTGCAGAAATTCTTCCAGTCTTTTCTTTAACATTTATGTGTGCAGTACACCTTTGAGCCACATGAGGGAGCCTGAATGTTCGCTTTTTTCTGATAATTGTAGTCTACTTATAACATTGAATCTAATAAGAAAAGTTAGCTTACATTCTGTTTGTGTTGCTGATGAGGGAAAAAAACAAGAGCATATTGATTCCCCCTTAATGTATATTGTTAAACTGGTAAAAGGAAATTAATAGAATGAGATAACCTGTTAACTCTGACGAAATGCATTTATTTGGTCTCAGGAAGCCTTATTTACGCACTAATTCACTCTACTCATTTATAGATTTATAGATAAGGCCTTTTGTACATTTAATTACGATGGTCATTTTTAAATAGAAACAATCAACCTGTCCCCGCGAGTTTCTTCTGTCAGACTTTATTTATCACCAGACCTCTTTATTGACTTGATAAGTGTAGTGTTTGTAACGGACAGGAATGAAAACTACAGTTTTACGACCCACGTTGTAATCAGTTGAAATGTTCCTGAAAACCTTTTGTTGATTCTTGCAGTCACATTCATGAATTTATAATGTTATAAAGTGTACATGACACAGTAGTGGACTTCAATGCCTCAGACTGTGTCTTTGTTTTCCAGTGGTAATGTGATCATTGAGACCAAGTTCTACGATGACGACCTCCATGTCAGCACCTCCAGGGTACGACTTTTCTACGTCTGACCTCTGACCCCCTGACTCTACCCTCCAAAATGCTGATGTCCTGCCAAGGTCTATAAATTACCAATGTTAGCTACGATTTGCAGCAGTAAACGGCTCTTTGCTGACTTGGGATCAGCACATTTGGATGAAACCCAGCTGTGGTCCCACAAGTCAGTGAAGTGAGCTTTTTGTTTGGTTGTTCTCTTGTTTTGTGTTGACCTGAAAACTTCCTCTAGACCTTGGGAGAAGAGGTGAGAAGAGGAGAGAGCACTCTGCTGTGTCCTCTGTTCCAACATCATCTCTCTCTGCTTATCCCCCTCCAGACTTTTCCACTGTAAACACATTATCACTGATCACCAGTCAGCCAGGGAGCCACTCTCTGGTTTGGGCTTTTTTAGAATTCTGCTCTCTCTCACTCCAAGGTTGCATTTACTCAGGAACAGAATATCAGACGCATAACCTGCCTGATGTGATCTTCTTTCTGTTTGGAAACACTGCTCTCCATGTGTTGTCAGTGTTGAGGGAGGAAGTTTAGTGCCTCTCCTGAGATACGTTCAAGAGTTTCTCATCATAAAACACAGGTCAACATTTCCTCTAGCTGTGTCCCACTCCAGAGGCTAGTGAAGTCCAGAGGCCTGTGAAGTCCACACTTCATGATAAGGTATATTGACTGTCCTGTTCCAAAGTCCCATTGGGATGCAGCCTCTTTTTGTATACATTTGAAGAACACAAAAGGTACATTGTTTGTAGTCTTCAATATCCCCAAATCTGTTGCACTGGTTACGTTTTGTGTACTTGTCAAGTTGGAATATTGTTGTGTGTATATTAGTGAAATGGACATCTTACGGATATGACAAATCAACTCTGACATGTCCACTTTTACGAGCTGACAAGGACTGCCTGAATGCATCGTTAATGGTGGTCTCTGTGAGGTCAAGTATTGTAACTTGTGATTTAGCTTTAGTCCTCCGAAGGACACACCTCTGCAGGCAGCCTCTGAAGTGGGACACAGCTTCTACCAACCAAACCTTTCCTGTTTCCTGACCAAATTACCTAGTGTAGAACAGAGATTTTCAGTGTGGTGTGATGGAGGACCAAGCACCTGCTTTTATTCCAGTAAACAACGAGAGATGCTGGTTTATCTCGATTGCTTCTTGCCTGTATTGTTTTGAATGAAAAGCTGCACACTTTTGTCATGACACATGGTTGAAAAGCACTGTGTTTGGGGGACATTCATCAGCAGACAGGGGGGGTTAAATACATCCACTTGTACTTAAAATGCTCAACTTTCACTAAATCATCATCAGGTGTAAACGGAGTCCTGCATCATTTATTCTCAGTAGTTGAAGATGTTACCAGCGGCTAAACTCAGTTCTTCCCTGCACATTCTGGCTTCCCATCCAATTCACTGTTTGTTTTTTTCTTAGCTGCTAACTGAGCAGTGTAAAATAGACTTGTGTTATAATATGACTGGAGTTGTGGATTAAAGTCATCCGATGTTGTAATAACATGGTGTTTATGGTCTTCATTGCTTTTCAGATAAGGTTCCCTCCCCCGTTGTGAGTTAATCATGTTTAAACCAAATATTCCGAACATTTGGGGGTTGTTGCTGTGTCACATAATATTTGGTTTGCATAGCAGCAGTATGAAATAAGGAACTTTCATACTGTAATTGCACTGTGTAGGTTGTTTAAGTTTAGCTGAATGTTGAAGGCTCATTTTGTACTGAAGATTTTAACTGATACAAGTAAGTAAGCACTTCTCAGGTTTATTTTACGCTGATAGTGTCTATTTAAAGAGGGATGGATATGTGTGTAGCTGTTAGCATGTGATGTTGACTTCTGAGTCTCTCAGTTCAGCCAAGTTAACTGTTGAGTTCCACATGCATCATGGTCGCATGGTGTAAATAAATCACCTTTCTTTGGTCTCTGACAACGACAACGTCTCTGAGTCATCTTCCTTGTCACTTTGGTCAGGCTTCCCCACATATTATTTTATCATTTATAGGCTAGTTGTACTAATGAAATATCTATACTTTTGATCAGTGATGTAAAGTACAATTTTGATGTACATGTGGATTGAGTTCTTCCATTTTCCGACACTTTATATTTCTACTCTACATTTCAGAGGGATTTAAGGTGCAACTTCACATACTTACAAGGTGCAATAACCTTTTTATTGTTCGTGCAATTATTTTTCCTCCGACCTCCTGTCGCTGGGTTCGCCTGAAGTCTTATTTCATCCATCTTATTTTCCTGCGACCGGACATCAGACAGCCAGAGTAGGAGTAGCCTTAGGTCCTAGTTGGGTTAAGTCGGCTTGTGCGTGAAAAAGACAGTTCTGGTTTTGAGAAGAGCTGATTGAGGCAGGACAATAGTGTGTTATTGTAAAGGTTGACAAAGTCTGTGGTGGAGGGGGTGAGGGTGGACAGTGATGAGGGACAGATGGACTTGATATTACAGAGAGTGATGGTGCGTGTGTGTTTGGGTTCTGCGATGTCGATCTCCATGATGATGGCTGAGTGGTCGCAGATGGTGAGGTCAGAGCCAGATAGGTGGTGGATGGTGATTCCAGTGGAACAGACTAGGTAAAATATGTGATCTTGGTGGAGAAGTTGATGTGTTGAGTGAAATTGAGACTTCCAGGCATGTCCTTAAATTCTGTGGCTATTTTACAGTTGGTAGAGTGGATGTGGATGTTGAAATCGCCCAGCAGCAGGATGGAAGGTGAAATGGAGCAGAGCTGGGTAAGGAATTCAGATAGGTCGGGGGGAAGGCAGATAATTGAAATGACCTGGGGTTTGGGACCACAGAGTTTGAATATCAGCTCTTCAAATGAGGGTGGACTTTGGATGTTAGTCAGACTGGTTTTTATGTGTTGGCGGTAAAGAGCGTCAATTCCTCCACCGCGGCCATCAGGGCGTGGTTTGTCCAGGTAATGATACCCAGTAGGGGTGGTTTGGTTGAGTGCGTAGTAGTCCAGGTGTTTTTGCCAAGTTTTAGTTAGACAGAGGATATAGTTAATGTCGGCAATTAATTCATTGATGATTAGACTTTAATTGTTGTTTAGTCACCCGGTGTTGAACATACAATGTTTTGTGATTGGTTGTGAGGATTTGGGGTGGGTTCTGAGGTTGGCTGGATTCACGTGCCGTTTGTTATGACGACGCAATGAGGGAGTGGTTGTACGCCGGTGCTGAGTCCACAGAGATGGGATTGAGTTGACAGAAGGGGAGTTGTAAACGATAAACTGGCGCTGGGAGCTTATGTGAACATCACTGGGATGAATGTAAGAGAGCTTGTTGTTGTACGTATATGGCTTTGAGAGTGCGGTGTGAATGGGGCAGCCTGTCTGTCACGATAGTCGGAATGGGGAGAACTACAGCTGAGGGGGTTAATGACAGGCTGGGCTAGTAGGAGGAGCAGTCATGGGAAACTCTGCTCTGAGGTGGCAGCTTATAGGAGAGGAAAAGGAAGGGGTGAGTGAGTGGAGTGTAACTAGTCAGGTGGGCAGGATCCAACAGCGTGCTGCACATTAGCTGCAAGCATGTGGGTACCCAGGTGTTAGGACGGATACCATCTGTCTTAAAAAGGAAGAGCGGTCTTTAAACAAAATCAAATTGTCAATGAAGCCCACGCTGTGGGCCCTGCGAACGGACTCAGCCAAGTGTGGAGGCTGAGGATTCTGCTGAACTGTTGCAGTCTACGGCCGAGTGTGGAAGTTGAACTATAATTCTCCAAATAGAGGTCGAGTGCGCATGCAACAGGCATGGCAGTTTTAACCGGATGTCAGAGGCCGTGGCTCCGGGGAAACAGTGTGTGGCTGCGTTGAAGAAATGGATGTTTCTGATTATGGAAACCCCAACTATCAGTTTAGTCAAGGAGAAGAGGGGACGATGCGATGTTGAGTGTGGGCGAGAAGATATCACTGTGCACGTAATGAGCCTGGACGGAGGTGGTGGAGACTTAAGCATTAGTGATGGGGAAGGGGAAGGATGGAGAGAACGGGGGACAGGAGCTTGTGCTCGTGTAAAGAGCGGTATAGAGTGTTGATCCCTGGTGCGAGAGGAGGGCTCGTAATAGGCTGGCGGAGGGATCGGAGAGGATGGTGGGCAGTGGGACCCAAGGGGCGGCAGGTGAGATGGTGGAGAGGGAAATCATGCAGGGCAAGGATGTCATATTTATTCTCCAGCTGGACGTTAAAGTGACGAGGGATAGAAGCGGGATGCCTCCCTCTCCTGCGAGCAATGACCCAGATATCAGAGTGGAGCTGACCAGGGCTTTATGGTTAGCCCCGGGCCGTAGCCAGGAATCCTCAAGAGCAGTGACCGGAGGAGGGGCAGCAGGACAGGGAGCGGTGACATCATGCACTCGGGCGCTGTGGTGGCTGGGAATCAGAAATAATAACTGCCCGTATAAAGCTAAAAGTGTATGAAAGTTTAAAAGTTTAGCAACCAGTAGTGGGTTAGGGTTAGCAGGCGCTGACAGGGTGGTCACGGGACCTTAAACATTAACACATTTGGATAAAAACAGCCAAGATCTGAAAGTGTAGCGTAAGATGTGGCTTCAAAATGGATTAAAATGTCAATGTGTGATAGGGCTGCTGACCAGCAAACACAACGCCAACACATGCCTACACCGCGTACACTTTACATTTTCAAATCATCATTCTACATTTTGAATTAGCTTTTTCAATTTTAATTAGTACCTAATTGTTCCTAGTGGTGTAGTAAAATAATAATCTTTTCAATATTATCTATTTTCATTTTCTATTTGGACTTTAAATTTTAATTATGACCAAAAATATTCTCCATTATTGGTAATTTATGAAATAAGAAGACCAAAGGAATCCATTTGTACCATCCATGTCATGTCTTGCCTGTTGGGAAGGGGACAAAAATACGGTCCAATGTTAGGCAAAATTAGTACTTTGCAGGAGGAGCAAGTCTGGATCCTAATGATCCAGATTATGTCTCTTCAATCAACCTTGGCTACCACGATATCAGTATCTGCAAGAAAGTATCACCTGGAGAGGACATGGCATTGCACAGTGATGGAGCTCACCAGTAAAGACACTAGTCAGCAGAGGTGCTTACAAAGCCTAGTTCTGTTCAGTTAGATATTTGGCAATTTTATGAATGAATAGCAGGCTTTATTTTCAAATGTAATAGTTACATACTAATTTACCTGTCTTCCAAAGTTAATAGTATCCATTTTGTTTGTTTTACCCGTTTGTCTTTATCCTCCATAGTAGTGTAACCTCACTCACCAAACAGTTTGTGACACTGTGAAAGACACTTTCAAAAAGTAAAGGAGGTGATTGTCTGTCAATCAAACTCTTGATTTCACTTTCATTCTTTGCTTTTCTTTCAATGGAAAATACGAAACATAACTGATTGCAGCATCTACACTAACCTTTCTTTCCTCTCCGTGTCCTCCCACACACACACTTAAACCACGCCCCTAGCTGCCAGTAGCTCCTCACAGTACTCTGATTGGTCCGTGGATTTTTGTGTATTATCGTGATATTGGGTATGCATTATAAAATAAACTGTTTTTGAATGGCTCTTATTCATTTTTCTTTCTTACAGAAGAATATAATCACTACTTGTCTAAACTTAATCTGCAAATTGTCGACACCAAAACATGAAGAACTAGAAGGGCTTCAGAAAGTCAACAGGGTGCTTCAGTAGGAAATTGAAGAAGGAAACGTTGGCCTGGGGTACTTCTCAAGTCTCTTAATTGCATCCCTGTTTCCCTCACTTGGGTCCTTTCCTTGCATCTTAGTCCCTCCCACCAGGGATGCATGGAGGAAACCATGCGAGGAGAGAGGAACGAGGAAATATGTTTTAAAATACATGAGACGTCCTTTCCTCAGTTGCGTCACGTGAAGCGACGTCTGTTTCTGATGACGGTGGATCAGCTGCTCACAGCTGGATCAGCTGTCAGTCGGCTTTAACAGCTGGAGAGACTTTGATAAGTTTGTGTCTGTTCACATGATCACTGTACTTAATAACAGTAACTAATAATACCAATAATTAAAGACACACAGTAATCACCACTGTAGAGGTGTTTCTCTCTGTAGTCTGTTAACAAACTGTGTCCTGTGTTCTGTTTATAAGCGCAGGATCCATTTCTACCAGCGGAATGCGATCGTCTTATTTATGAACTATTTGCGTCTGTACGTTTTGAAATTGTGACTGTGGCGTCATTATTAAATAACCCAGAATATGATTATTATTTCTCTTAAATGATAAAACTCATCAAACACTCAGGAATGATGTAAAAAGGGTTTAGTCTCTCCAGCTCTCTCTGACCTTTTAACTACTAGCCCTATTTTTAGGCCTCTGCTCGAAAATTGCATACCCATACTCAAGAGAGTCCCCAGCTCTAACTACAAGGTCTATTTTAATAATTTTGATGGTCAATACAGGTAACACTTGTGAGATGTGTTGAATTGTGTAAATATTGTGTATATGTTACTGGTTAATAACTGATACACTTATGGCACAGCTCAAGTTGAAAAAGTTCCAGGTTCGCCTGAAAAAAACGCACTTTCATTGAACATTTTTTTGGAATTATTGCAGAGTGAAGCCTACAAATACTCCTGTGTCATAGCACAACAGGTTTGTGGTCTCTCTAAGCAAATTTTACTTAGATTGAGTGAAGCAGGCCAGCATAATAGGAGGTCTGAGTACAGAATTTCAAGCCGAATGCTCATTTCTCTCATGCTCTATTCTAATTTTATAAACTATATAACTATATATTTCACTTTTTTTTTATCACTGATATTATTCAATACATCCAAATACAGCTGTTTAGAATGATTTTGAGAGCAAGGGTCCTCTCAGAGCATGTTTCTGGCTCTCATCCATAGGATTTTCTCATTTGGTCTGTGTGTATGGGGCTCAGCCTACCATCGGTCGGTTTCAGTCAATGAGCCCTCCTTAGACGCGTCAGAGTCTCAGGAAGGCGGGTGTAAAAGCGGGTGTTGATTGACAGAAGTTTGAGCCAGTAAAGTTGCAAGAAGTGCCATGTATCCCCGAGCGTAAAATTCCATTGGCCGAAAGTCTGACCGCTGGCCCGAGGTGGGTTGACCCCCTTTCCACAGGAAACAGCTCGGCTGTAAACAGGATGCACTTGACGGCCATGACGGTCGCTCGAAAACGGATTATTTTCTATGTTTTTGTACTAATATTTCATAAAACCTGACCAAAAACCATGGATTTTTTCCGGTGAAGACAAGTGGCATTGGACCGTTGTCCAGTCACAGCGTTGTGGTGCTTCCACGGAGATAAAAACCGACGGTATGTATGCGTTCTCTGCGTGATGCTAATGCTAAACGATGTCCGGATTAGCCGGCTAGCTGCTAGCTTCGTGGTGAAAATATTGATTTGAGGCACACATAACGCCAATTTCTGCCCAGGATTTCATGATTTTATGCCACATTTTCTAGATGTTTATACTAGTAGTCTATAGTTGTGTTTGGAGTGTGTAAAAAGTGACTTATATGATAGTGTTGCCCATACGTTGCTGTTTAATACGGAAAAAAAACTGGACAAATCCACAATACTGGCGAACAATAAGGCTATTTTCCGAACAATATTTTCAGGGGTGCTGAGCCCGAGTGCCCCCAAATGGGGGAGACTCGTAGCCAGAAGGTTTTAATTGTTTCCATAATAAAAGTTATTGAGGGAAACATCAGATCATGAAAACACAAATCTTTCTAATAAATGAAGAAAGTTGTTTGTGGTCCTTTTGTTGTTCAGTCTACAATGAACATTTATTTAAACCAGATGTTGAATCAGAAAACTAATCAAATATAAACTAGACTTTATTCTGTGATCTGTCTTCACTCTGGTGTTAAACTCCAGTCAGTCAGTCCGATCGGCTGCAGCGTCCAATCACATTACTGATGAACAATGAGGGGGCGTGTCGGCCGTTAAAAGACTTCCTGGAAGTCTGTTCTCGTGTTTCCTCTCTCATGGCTCCTCCGAGGTCCCTCCTCCATCCTCGCTCCTCGCTCCTCAGAGCTACATTAGAGCTTTGGGACGGCCGTCAATATGGCGGTGCAGAAACAACTTCCGGTTGAAGCGAGGATCGAGGAGCGAGGAAACGGCACTTAAGAGACTTGAGAAGTACCCCTGGGCCCCGTTCCTCGTACGTGGCTAACTTAGTTAGCCGGATACTTTTCAGGATAAGATGACGTAGATCAGGCTTTTTCGGTTCCACGAAGCAAGTTCGGCAAAATCACCATGGCAACACATCCATAAGCTTGAACCTGCTCTGGGGCAGACTAAGTGAGGGTAGCTGGATAAGCTGGTCACTCCCCCGGAAGAAATGGCAGCTCCTGTCATATACAGTAGTCAAATGCGCTTGCGCATATACTGGGGGTTATACGGGAGTTCCAGAAATGCATGTAAAGTGAGACTCACGGTGATCCATAAAACCAGCTGAGCAAACTAAGAAGCCTCTATTGCATTCATGTACAGCTCCCTTCCTCAGAGATCCCATTGATGAAGGAGCGATATCAGTTAGATTAGCGTTTTATAGGGAGAGAGTTCTTCCACATCGCCAAGATCCGTTATCACATCATGATGACTTCATTTGCGAGCGCTATCCATTCTGCCGACAAGTAATCATTTATTTACAGACCTTTTGGAGCCATACATTGAACACCACACGCTGCAGCCGAGCATTGACTGTCTCACAGACTGGATGCAGTCTTGCGCTTTTTTGCGAGTGGTACATTTTTGTACAGTGTCGGCGATGCGGAGAACATCGGGAAAGCCGCTGCATGCCGTGCTGTTCGTAAACTTTATTTGGCGCTTAATAAACTTATGGATGTGTTCAATACATTACCATGGCACATATTGACTCACCATTCTGAGTAATCTGTGTGTGCTTAGTGTTTACTTGCTCCCATGACAGTGTTATTAGTACACCAG